CAGATGCCTGGGTGGGATGAACCCCAGCAGATCAGCAGTTTGTGAAACACTAAGAAGGTTTGACACCATGCTACATGCTACATTCAAAGTCACTGAAGCCTCAGTTTGATGCCATTCAGATCCTCAGTTTACTGACCATGTCTACTTGTCTACTTGCCCACATGCATTGTATGGTAGGCTGATCACATGTTTGTGCTGAGAACCAATTGAACAGTGTACCTAATAAAGTGGCTGTAAGCGTGTGTCCAAAAAAACGAACCTCATGTTCATTCGTGTCTGTTAACATGTGGCTTAGCACTTTCAGTGCTGTCAGTCCACTTCCACCACATAACCTGTGGTCTTCTGTTCCTGGTTAATAACCAATATGTTTGGTTAGTTGGTCAACAGCTGCTGTTTTTCTGTGAAACTGGAAGTGTAACAGGACTTCTAGTCCTCATATGCGTCACTACCCCAGCAAGGTGGTTTGCGACTATGTGCTAGATGGTGTCTTGGGACGCCTTTGCAGAATCTGCAACTTAGGTCATGTCAGCTGGGGTAGCCTCTTGTCTCTGTGGACCTGCTGCTTAGGCCTGTTAACAATAATCAGAGCCTCTGTCTACATTGGCCTTTTCTAGCCACTGGTAGCACTTCTTGATGTCAGCCCGTCCTCGCCCAATGGTATCATGCAAGGGCTTGGTCCGACATCTTTATGCATCTTCAGCTGCTTAAGGCATTCTTGGAGCCACTCATGTGGTGAGGTGGTGATGGTTGGTGAGGTGGTGATGGTTGGTGAGATGGTGATGGTTGGTGAGGTGGGCATGGTTGGTGAGGTGGGGATGGTTGGTGAGGTGGTGATGGTTGGTGAAGTGGTGATGGTTGGTGGGCTGGCGCATCTCTGATACTGGCTCTGACACTCAGTAATCCTGATCCTCCCCCTCCTGTTGCTCATAGAGTCACAGTGTGCTGGATTTCAGGTGGAGACCTCCATGCTTTAAGAGGAGTATGCACCTTGACAACAGTGGCATCCATCACCTTTTGTAGCATGGAGGAATATTGGTGTGACACTAAGAAAAAAATATTGTAATTCTATTTCGAGAAAAAAAGTAAAAATATTCAGATTACGGTTATTTCGAGACAAACTGCCACAGCTACAAAATGCCTTGTATAGACGAGTTAGTGAAACTAACTGATCAGCATACTTGTGATGCAACTGTTGCTAGCCTTGAATCTGTCCATGAACAACCATTTCATGCTGTATAAATCCATTCTTCCAAGTTTGTGTGGCCATAAGCAACTTTCTGCACCATCTTTTCAATGTCCTTATACTTGACCCAAAAGAGAAATAACTTCATTCCTTGTTACTAAATGAGATTCTGAAGTACTACTTTATTAACTTATAGGGTACAGCAACCGCCGCAGTTTGTCTGGAAACAACCATAATCTCCACATTTTGACTTTTTTCTCAAAATACATTTGACTTAAATCTCAAAATTTCGACTTTTGCGACTTTTATCTCTGTTTTTTTGTAGATGATGTGCTTCTGTTGGTATCGGGTGGTGAACTCCATCCCACATCGGAGTGATTAACAGCCAAGTATGAAGCAGAGGGAATGAGAATTAGCACCTCCAAGTCTGAGGCCATCATCCTCAGCTACATAAGGGTGCAGGGTCCACTCCGGGTCAGGGACCAGTTACTGAGGAGTTTAAAGGAGTTTAAATATCTCAGGGTCTTGTTCATGAGTGAGGGAAGATCGACAGACTGATTTGTTCTGTGGCTGCAGTAATGCAGCACCTGACTGGTCAGTTGTGGTAAAAAAGCACCAAACATAAAAGTGAAGCTCTCGATTTACGGGTCAATCTACGTCTCTACGTCTCCCCCCGTCCACCTAAACTCACAGGCCCAACAAGGAGAGCGCTGATCAGAAATGCAGCCAAGAGGCCCATGGTGACTCTGGACGAGCTGCAGAGATCTACAGCTCA